AATGAAATTTTAAGATAGATACACGCAATTTTAAGATAGATACACGCAATGCTCCGTTTCTGGGACTGTTTTAGTCTTTGAGGGAGGATTAATTGGAGGTGGCTGGCAGTGGGCTGAAGCCCCCAAAATCGGGGTTTTCCCCAACACCGCCAGGGGAATGACAAACCTAGCATGGAGGCTGCTATGGGAGGGAAGAATGAAATTTCAAGATAGATACACGCAATGCTCCACAGCTTAGAGGGAACACTGGATACAGGTAAGTTGGCTAGTGGGTGGAAAAGAGAGAAAGAAGCAGGAAAAGAGGAGAGGCCATGGGGGCTTTCAGGAAAGGGAAAGAAGAAATAGTGGGGGGAGGGGAAATGGGATGACACACACACTCCACACACAAATCCTTGCAAGTCTCATGCTTTTTTGTAGATATTTGGCTAACAGGAGTCTTTCAGCATCCAGGGTCTAGTCTCAATGGCTACGTTTTAAATTTTACCAGCAAAGAAAATGGTAACTGTTTAACTGCCATGGCTGTCAATGATGAAACCTTGGGATGAGCTAGAGATATTTAACAAAGAATGTTCAACATCTTCTCAAAATTTCTATTTCAGGACATTTGGGGGGAAGCTTTGAAAATTAAGCCAGTAGCTGCATTCATAATGAATATGAATAGGATACAAGACTACGCCTATTCAAGCATTATTAATGTCCCTTTTCTCTCTCAAATCATTCAAAGACATGTAGCTGTATACTGTTCAGCCCCTCTGCTTTTCTGCCCAGCAGGCTTTCCATCAGGGAGTAACATCTAGAGAGAGGCCATTCTCATAGAGATCACATTGGTTCAAGTGGAGAAAGGTCTGGGAGCACAGAATGCACTTCATAATAATGTCATTTATTTCGTACCATCGCTGATGGATGGCAGCAAAAATAAACATCATAGTGTCATTTATCCTGCACAGTCACTGTTTATGCCAACAAAATAAACAGTTCCCCACCCACAGGGAGTTTACGACCTATAACTAACAGTGGGGGGAAACAAGAGGAGGAGGAAAAAACTAGAGTAGGGGGCAAATGTACTCATTCCTAAAACTTGGTAGCAGGCAATTCGGGTGAGGATTAAAGGGATAAATGTACAGCCATGCAGGAAAGGTGGGTTCTACTGCTGA